CTTTTTATTCTTACAGTGCTACATTGTAATATTACAACTAATCATTTGTACATTCAAAAATAGGTATAAATTTTAAATGAGACAGCCATCATATTATAAGTGGAAAAACACACACAAACACACCCAAAACTCCACTAACAGTCAACTTTGAAAAATGAATGGGTAATTCAATGACAGAACTGTGCTGTTGTTATTATGGTAATATTTGCAAAATAAGTTTCCAGGGAAACATTAAAAATCTATACCACAGAAAACAAATGTTAGATTAGTGACTTTCTATTTGTTCTTTTCCCTTGAATTTTCAGTTTATAAGATTATAGGCATTAAGATAAAAGGAAATACAGGTGTATATCTGTCCTTTTATTTTTCACTACAGCCATTAGCTTTCTAAGACCAAATCTTGTGTTTAGAAATCACCCACATGTGACAAATGTCAGTGAGATAATCTAAGATATGTCTGATGAATTATACAATCTAGCCCAAATGTTTATGATAATATAGCCACTTTTAGACAGGGTTCTTATACTGAAGAAAATCACATAACTCCTATATGTAGGATGGCTTTATATTTTTAACATAGAAAATTACATCATTTCCAATATAGGCCTAAATATTTTAAATGTTAATGCTTTATTTTCTGTAACACTAGGACTTTTTATATGAAAAAATTAAAGATTATTTCCATATTGAAAAGTCATCAGAAGAAGTACTTAGGGAATATATCCAGTGCTTTTTAATTAGAAAAATTCAAGGCTATGAAAGACCTAATTCTGTTTTTAAACCTAGCATTTTGTAACTCATGCTTTTTATTAATACTTTAAAATATTACCTAATTCAAATATGCAAATACTCACTGACTCACTAGGAAGTAATAAAAGCAAACACACTTTTTTGGAAGCAAATGTTAGTTGTAATATTCAAATGTGAAAGGTCTGAAGAAAGTTATAATAATGCAACTGAAAAGGAAATTTGGTTGTTTCAGTGGCAAGCAAAACAAAGATAAGAAAGCCATTCCAAGCAAATTTTAGAAAAATGTCTCCAAGGATAATGATTAAACCTATTTTCATATATGTCTGTGAATAAGCAATCTGATTTATAAAAATGGATATAATTTCTATAGTGGAAAATATTTTAAGACTTAATATAAGAATCCTGAGACATAATTTTTTTTATACTAAGTAAAGAAATTCAGAAAGTCCAGAGTAGTGCCTAGACTTCTGTATATTTATAGAATGCATGGACAAGTCTGATCTGCAATCTCAATTAAGAAACACTGGCTTAGAAAATGCTAGATTCAAATTAAAGAAGTTGTGGCCAACATTTTAATAATATTGAAATGATGAGTGATAACACTATATTTGTTGTTGCAGTAATGTCATCAGAAAAAGCACCACCAGGACTCTGATACAGGAAAGCTCTTCAGAACAATGTTCTGGATGGGGTTAAATTTAAAGCAAAACAAATGTTGGGTATATATGATAAAGGAATTTGGTTAAAAAGAATATTGAGAATGGATATTTGTTGGGAGTGATAAAAATATTTAAGATTGGCCACTTACTGGGAAAGAACAGAGTCAGCTGATGAAAGGAACAATAATTAGGACAAGCTAGCAGTCTGCGTGATACAGGAAAACAACAGATTAGATTTAGAAAAGAAAAAGAATATATATGCATTTTATCAGTCAAAAATTTTATCCCACAGACAGGTTTAAGAACTTATTTATGGAAGACAATTGTATTAATGTATTTGAAGAGACCAATCTTCACTCATTCACACACACACCCTATAATAGTACATGTTATATATATATTATTTAATATTTATATTTAATATAGTTCATGCACTTGCATCTTTTCATTGGAAGGGTAATAAAGACAATGCTACTCATTTTTATAAATGTAAATATATAAAAGGAGCTAACCTCTTTAAATTTAACTAAAAGATTTCCATTAGTGATTTCTTTAGTAACAACAATAAAAATATACCTAAAGGCAAAGGCTATGTGTCTATCATCACTAAATAAAAATCTGGTATTCAAGTTAAAAATTTTCTCTGCCTACTCTTATTCAAGTAAAATATAAACAATCTTAGGTTAAGATTCAATTTTCAAATCTAAATTCTAATTAATTATGAGGGTACACTTACTCCTTCATATGCATAAAATTGATTTTCAATACCAGTTCTTTAAGGATAATTGTTATAGGCCTTACACTGAGTAAAAAAGGAAGCCTCACTGACATTCCTTGCTAATGACATGAATACCCGGCATTTTCTCTCCTACAAAAAGAATGTGACCTAAAAAAAGCACTGTGACCTAATGGAAACTAATAGATAGAAACTTATTAATAGCTGACACGAGCTTCACAGGCTTAAAAGATTGTAAGCCAACTGGACAAGCTTTATTTTCATCATATACTTTTCTAATTTCCATGCCCTGATCTATTTTTTCTTCTCTCCTCCAATTCTATCTAATTATAAGAGAATACTGATTGGAGAGTGAAAAATTGGTTCTTTATTCTCTAAATGAACACAGCTATTGTTATGTTTTAATACCTGAGACCTCACTTTGTAAGAGCAACATCATTATCCTAGTATAAATCTCTCCCCATCACCAGATTTTTTATTTCCATCATCACCAGTGTCAAGAAACAAAAGCAGATGAAAATTTCTTTAGATAACAAACTTCATAGCAGCTGAGATATTATATTGATCAACTGAAATCACCTGTTATTCCATTCTAATCATACCGTTGTTCACTTCTCCCATTATATAAATAGAAACATCTACAGATAACATCTAAATACAACAGAATCCCCCAAAGTATATCTTTCCAGTGATTTTATCTAGTCATTTTTAATTCAGTGGGCTACACTGTTTAAAAGAGGCTTATATTTTTCAGCTAATGGTTCTACTATATTTGCTTACTTTAATAGATAAACTCAAGTTCCATTCCTCTAGACTAATGCTAGTATTCTCAGATTTTCCTGAAAATCTTACATTTTTGGTTTTTACTTTTTGGAAAAAGTAATATAGGAAGAATTCCACAGTTCTGAGCATCTACTGTTAGTCTAGGTAGGATATTTATTTTACTGTGAACAAAGGGTCTTCTATTTGTGCTATAAAATGAATACTGCTTGTTCAGTTCTTCCATCTAAAGAGCAGCAAAGTAAAACACCATAAATTTAGGAATTTTGCCCTGAGAAGTTAAACTTCTTTGTAATTTGTAAGCATCCATCCAAAATAATTCCAAAACCAGTACTAAGTAACCTTAAAAATAAGGCATCCTTACACCAAAATCTCTGGATAAGTAAGCAAAAGAAAAATTTCCAAAATTTTGATTCAGAAAAGTTTTTTTTTTTAAAAATCAACATTTAAAATACCAAAAGTCAATCATGTTGGTTCTTATGACTTGAAACTTCCTAAAAAATGTAATATAAAAAACAGAAATAGAATGAAATAAATAGAAGCAACAAATCTCAATAAATCATAATTATCTCTACTGACTTATTTTGAGACATTTTCATCACAAATTTCTGAAGTCCTTAAAAAGGAAATCTTTACATTTATATATGCTCTATTTTACACTTGCTGCACCAGTTTATTTCAGTGTTATTTACCTAAAACATAACTTTGGTTTTTTTTTACTAAACAGAACAGGGGATTTTAAATAATTGGAAGGAAAATTCTTCTATAAGTTATTATTCCTGACTCAAACAGATCACATCTATTCAAAAAGCTTCCCTAAACTGAATCCTGTATTTCTCTTAATTTTTTTTACTTACTCATAGGATTATAAAGAGAATGGTATTATAAAGAGAATGGACAACTGAAGAGAAGAATTACAGAGGGAAAGTTTCTTAAAGATGCCATTGAGAAGACAACTAGATGTAAGGAAATCTATGATTTGCAGAATAAAAAGGAATATTATTATTTTATAAGAAACTATTACTGTGAGAAGTCTTTTTTTTCCTTCTGATCACAGACCCCTTAATGAAAGCCACACACTCACTTCTGAAAAAAATGCAGTTAACACACGGAATTTCTACACAATTTCAGGGGATTCATAAATTCCCCCAAACCCATGGAATCTCAGTTTAAGGACACTTGTAGTTGTAAAAGCTCTCTGACCTAACTCAAAAGATGACCTTATAAAAGCAGGTTTAACAATCTCTTTGAATTCTAAAATAAATCTATCAGCTTTTTACTTTAAAATATTGAACATTAAGCATATGTAACACTTAACTATGTATAATAACATTAATTATAATCTTAAAAGTTATACATAACATGAAATAGAAATGTTTTTAAAAATTACTATATCTAAATGACTAGTTTAAGTGATGCATATCTTTTCAATTCATTTATCAATCACATGGAAGTTAGGTAAAAATGTTAATGTATTTGGGTATCATTGCTAACACTTCTAATTATGGAGAAAGACAGTATTTGCTTAGTAAAGAATAAGCCAAGAAAATTTGAACTTTGCAGATATAAATTGTGTTGCAAATGCTAATACTTAAAGGGTCCACCTGTCAAAATCATAATCAGCATTTTCCTTAATTATACTACTAATGAAATACATCTGCAAAATATATCTCTAGTTTCTCTTATTCCTACTTAACCTTTATTATTTAAGCATAATAATATATTTCAATAAGTTCTCATTAGTAATATGCTAAGTAGTAGTGGAATGACCCAATGTACCGGTTTCAACTGTCATATTCAACTTATCATGAAAACCTGGAATTTACACTGAGTTTTGAAAATCCAAGTGTGCAACAGATGCCTTTAAAATATTACCCCAATCAGGAGTTCCATAAATAAGCTTATGTATTTTTAAATATGGTGGTCAGTAAATAGGAAAATGATTAACTAAAGAATACATTAAAAGCCTTATCTCTCAACTGTCCCATCATCTGTCCTCTTCTTAGAAATACCTTAAATTCTGCTGTTTAGAATAATGGAATTATATCCAACTTCTTCATTTTTGTAAGTTTTTTCCCCCAATGGCTCTAATGATCTTTAGGAATGAACCACAAATCTAATTCAATTGTATTTTCTCAAATCCACCTTGATGTAGATCAAGAATTAGTCAATAAGACTGGATTCATTGTTAACCAGAAATTTTTAAAGTGGATAATAATACAACCTGAGTCTTTATACACACATAGCATACTGAATTTTGGTAATCTCTAAATGATTTTCAGTGATAGAAGCCCTGATACATTTCTGATAGTTGAGAGATGTGGTTAAAGTGACAAAGCAGTAAATCAAGTTTCATTTATCCATGACAGAAGATGGAAATAGTAATCACTTGGAATCTTGAGTATTATATTCAGTTTCTCCAGCTGAAATCTGGCTGAGTCGCTTGCTAGATCCCCACAATTTTCGAGAAAGCTGACCTGAACGCATCTGTTTAAAGTAATCCAGAGAAATGAAGAATAGATGTTATTAAAAAAGAAAGAAAAAAAAAAAGAATAAGTGAAATTGGTATGCAAGACACTGATTTTGTAGAATGCAGAATATAAATTTTGTTAGCAGAATAATTAACATTTTAGTGATTCTTGATTAATAATAATTAAAGAAAGGCTTCTCTATGTTGGTTGTCTTTCAATTGAGAAAGGTCTAATGCCAAAGTGTTAATTTTAAAATTAAATGTCCCAGTTTGTCCAAATTACCAGAGTCCCTTTCTTTATAAATTAACAAAACTGGGTGTTATATGCAACTAACGAATCACTGAACACTACATCAAAAACTAATGATGTTGGCCAACTGAATATCATAAAAAAAGGTTAAAAAAATAAAAATATATTTCACTTCATTAAAATAATCTTCTGAAATTATACTTTAGCTAATAAGAAACTTAAGTTTGAGGATATCTCCTCTTGTATTTAAAGTAATATTAATGCTTATCACAAAGATAAGAAAAAAGTAAAATTATGTTTGGATGAAGAGAAAAAAATTTTAGGATATTTTGATATAAGAATTTCAAAAAATAATATTTAACAATAGAATGATAAAACTTAATTTAGAAAACAAGAATAGCCTAAGGTCTCTGAAGGTAAGAATCACATTTTGTCCACCATTAATTTATATCACCTAGCACACTTCTCAGCGTATAATAATTATTAATTAAATATTAATCCAATTGGTGAATAAATGCCCCTCTAAAAGTGCTTACACTTCTAGGCAGGGCAAAAAAAGAACCCATGTGGGAAACATTTCTCAGTCTAAGCATATGATTATGATGTCAGAATTACTTTCCCAAGTGCAATCTACTTTTTTTTTTTTAAAGATTTTTTATTTATTTGATAGAGACACAGCGAGAGAGGGAACACAAGCAATCTACTTTTTAATGGCAATTCATCTGCCACCCTTTTTCAATGGTTACCCTTCTCTAGGGTACATTTATTGAAGGGATAAAAAATCAAGCCTCACGCACAGACACTTTGGCATGCTTGTTATGCATTTTCATTTCCAGATGTATTTCCGGAAACATTATTTCCATTAATCTATTACCACTTTGCCATCTTATTTATAAATACAAATTTTGTATGGAGAATGTTAATACATAAAACTGATACATGACTTAAAATACATGTTAATCAAGATTTTGATCTTTTAGATAAATTCAGATACTGAAATAAAAATTTTTTCATACCTAAATCTTGATTTAATTTTGATACTGTCATATACAATTATATTTTAATTATGCAAGATTCTAAGTATTCAATTATATAATAAAGTAGATCTATACTTCCAGCTGATACACCCAAAGATGTAAAAAGATAAATACTTTTATTTAAAATCTACACACAATTCAGATTCCATGTGTTGTAGACTACATAAATCTTTCAGCGAAGACAAAAAACTTTAGTAAGTAGTACAAAACATTGATTGAGGCCAATGAAATGAAGCTTTTTAGGTATTTTTTTCCCAATCAATTTTTGAAGAAAATGTGTGCACATAATGGTCACTTCATTTAAAAAAATCAGTAAAATAAAAAACTGAAACATACTCAGTGAGAAAAAATGCTTAAAATGTTTTAAATATAAGTGAAATACCAAGACATGGACTTTCTGACATTGTGTGGGGGACTGTTACACTAAAGGTAAATGTCACAATCAATTTAATAAGACCTCTCTTTTGTTATAATAATACCGTGAAAAAGAGAATAAGAACTAACGGAATCTTAAAATATATATGAAAACAAAAAGGTCCCTATGATCCATGGTAGATTTATTAAAACCAGTGACAGTGTGTTATTCGCTAGTGTCCTCTCTGGAAACAATTCCAACAGATTTTAGATTTCTCAGAAAAGACTGATGGTATCAATACAAATTTATAATCCTTAATTTGCTCTATGTAATAAAAGAAATTTTCTAAAAGAATCACTAAATTACTTGGAATATAGCCACTAAGTTTTCAAAGGAACAATATCAGATTTATGCTATCTGAATATTCAGTAATTGATAAACCACTGGCAAATCTAAAGTACAGGAAACTCATTGAGAATTAGCATATTTGTTCTGCTAATTCTGGTATTTTTGTTGAAAGTAAAGTACATAGTTTTATTGTTTGAGCCTGTATTTCATTTTTTATAAGGCTTTTATGTATTAAAAATCCAAGTAGTGTCTTGAATCTAGATTTGGAAAGATAGATAATAAAAGAACTTTCTTATTCATATAGAGTGATAGAAACTGCCAAATATGTGCTTTCAATTGTATCATAATAAAAACATCACTCTTGAATACTAGCTTTATCCCCTTTTCATTTACTGTCCTTTGAAAAATCAAACCTGGTTTTTAATTTGTTCATCCATAATGGAGACTTCTGATTCAGCTGGAACAAAGGAGAACCAAAGGAATCCCCAATAGGATGGGAAAAGAAGTTCTTGATGCTATGTTTTACCTCAGCTGGCTTGCCAACACCCACTACAATCAACTTGCCATCTTCTAATCCTACAAGAATATGGCTGTATTCTTTGGTTACACAAACACAGTGGATAGGCATTCGCATGGCTAATGGGTTCAGGCTGAGATTCAAACTAGAAGAGAAATAAAACACACACACATAATTACATGGATACATAATAGATTCAGAGAATTTTGTAATTGGAAGATAACCTAATGATCATCTGATTCTGCATTCTAATTTTACAGATGTGTAACGTAGATTCAGGAAGCCTGAATGGCTCACACAAGGGCCCACATAATAGCATTACTTAAAATACATATTTTTTTCCTATTCTCAACATCTGTTTTTCTTCTAACCATATATATAATCTCTCACTAAATGATTTTTACCTTGTTGATTAAAAAGTGACAGTAGGACAAAAAGGGCAAAAGTTCATAAACTGTGTGCATGTTGGGGGGTAAGGCTGATAAAACTGTTCTATCTGCCTTGTCTTAGAAGATGTAATATATAAATATATAATATAAAACATAATACATATTTAAAAGTATGATATAAAAACATGACATAATACTCAATTATGGAAAATGTCCATGGCTTTTAGGATTAGAAAACAAAGAATCCTCTGATGTACACACTATGTTTGGACTAACCTGCTAAAAGATCTCATTCATTTTTAGAATCTGGCATTCTCTCTCTTTTTTTTTTTCCTTACCACTGATCTGGGATTCTCTTAACAATACCGTAAAAGAAAATGTTGGAAAGATACAACTCAAATAGGAACTCAGTGCTTTACTGCTGGAGAATGACAAAATTGAGAAGAGAATTACAAAAATAGGGAAAGGATGTTGGTACAGAAGTGATTCTGATATGAATGTGGTAAGAGAGAACACCCTGGAATCAGGAAATGATTTATAAGAAAGGTTTGGGAGGGGCCAAGATAGTCTCAGGAATACAAACATTAACATAAACCACAATAAATTTCTTAAAAATGGAAGAAAAGAATGTATTTGGGCATACAAGGAATAATAGTGCTTTGTGTATATAAGTTAACAAATACGAAGAATATAAAACTTAAAAATATATCCACTACTTAAACATCCTTTTCCTTCATTGGTTTAAATAACAAGACTCCCCACCAATTTTACACATACATATACACAATCGTGAACACATACATTAGCCTTAAAAATACTTTAGTTTGTTTTACCACAATTAAAAAAAATTTTTAAGCCCTAACTGTAGTTTGTAAAAATTCAAACTATAATTGAACAAATTTCCAAATCCATAATCCGGGTTTGGCACCATGAAAATTCTTTTTCTGGCTTTTAAAATTTTACTGTGGTAAAATACACGTAACATAAAATTTCCTACATTTTTAAAATGTACATCTATATTTCATTTACTTATCCAGAAATACTTTAGCTTCCCAAATTTTTTTCAGAGTTGCCAAAAATGACATGTTCATAATAAATGATAAACCAAAAGATTAGAAATCTTTGATTGCTGATTTCTACTCTAGGCTGACGATCAAGAGTTGCATGCTCCACTCAATGAGCCAGTGAGGTGCCCCTATTACCACCTTTTCTTAAGTGAGACTTCGATGATTCTTATTATTTACCTGTGGAGATCTCTTATGGACAGGAAGCCTTGTAAACTGCCCATGATAATATGTTCTCCAGTGATACATATATCTGATACTTGTTCTGTCAGGACTTGGGACCCTAGATGCTTGCCATTTACAGAAAACAGATGTAATGCATTCTTATCCTGTAAAGATTAGGTGAAGAAAATTTAATGATCTCAAATGAAAATGGAGTTTTAATACTGACAAAACTGTGACTGTAACAGAATAACTACTGGATTTAAAATTTTGGAATAAACATATAGTTATGTTTAAAGAGAAAGTGTGTAGACAATATTATTAAAGTGATTTTAAATGAGAAGTAATTATATATTTTAAGAAAATATTTAAATAAATAATTGCCAAGTAAATAAATACTAAACAGGGACTCTCATCTCTCCAAAAGAATGAAAATCTCATCCAGTCTAAAAAACCCCACAATACATTTTTTTAAACCCCACATTCTTAACACAGAACAAAAAGATTCTCTTAACTTTTTTTAAAGCTACAGTTCTTTTTAAATTTTTTATTTATTTTAAGTTATCTCTATGCCCAATGTGGGACTTGAACTCATAAACCCTGAGATCAAGTGTCTCATGCTCTATCAACTGAGCTAGCCAGGATTCTGTTAAATTTTTTTTAAAGATTAACTTTTTTGAGAGAGAGAGAGAGAACGCGTGTGCACATGGGCACGCAAGCAGGGGAGGGGCAGGAAGAGAAAGACAGAGAGAGAGAATCCCAAGCAGACTCCCCACTCAGCGGGGAATCCAATGCAGGGTTCAATCCCACGACCCTGAGATCATGACCTGAGCTAAAATCAAGAGTCGGTTGCTTAACTGACTGAGCCACCCAGGTCCCCCAATTCTCTAATTTTTATTTATTTATTTAAAAATTTTTTTAAAGATTTTATTTATTTATTTGTGAGAGACAGAGAGAAAGATAAGACAGAGGGAGCATAAGCTGGGTGAGGGGCAGAAGGAGAGGGACAAGCAGACTCCCTGCTGAGTAGGAAGCCCAACTTGGGGCTCGATCCCAGAACCCCAGGATCATGACCTTAACCGACTGAGCACCAGGTGCCCCACTGATGCTCTAATTTTTAAAAAGCTTTATCATGGAAAGAAAGAGAACATAATTCATGGCTTATTTATACCCAGCGTGTACAAGAAAAATTTAATTTGGTTATAATTTCCACTTAAGCTTCTTAAGTCCCACATAACCAGAAATTCTTTTTGAAATCAGTTATTATATGGTGAATAGAAATCCCTAAAACAAAATATAAACATGAGGCCAAGACTGTGATAGGGGTCCATTTAACGGTAAGGAATGAACAAACTGAAAGATAAAAGGAAAATATCCTTTTCAAAAAAATGGTGTTCTTCATCAAAATGCCTCATATATACAGTATAATATGGAAAGGAAAAGACAGGGTTATAGTCTAGTCCTACTGCATGTAACTGTTATATATATAATACCTTGAGATTGGTCTTTTCTTCAATGCTGGAATAGATGACAATATGTCCTTCCCAAGATATAGCCAAATTAGGAATAGTCAGGAGCAGAGAACTCTCACAAGGTGGCCGTAAAGTCCTCATGTATTGACCTTTCTGAATGGTATGTATAATCACAGTGCCATCCTACACACAGATAATATCAGAATATGAAAAAGAGAACAACAAAAAAGAAGGCCAGATAAATAAATATGGGAAGGGAACTCAGAAAATGATTATTCTACCACAGACACATGTATCTTAGGAAAAATTCCAATCTTGAAATCTGAAATAGTATTCTGTTTTTATTTTCTTAAAGATTTCATCTATTTATTTGTCAGTGAAAGAGAGTACGAGCAGGTGGATCGGCAGGAAGAGGGAGAAGCAGGCTCCCCACTGAGCAAGGAGCCGGATGTGAGACTTGATCCCAGGACCCCGGGATCATGACCTGAGCCAAAGGCAGATGCTTAACTGACTGAGCCATCCAGGCGTCCCTTGAAATAGTATTTTATTTCATAAGATGCCCTCTTTCCTTAACTAGTAAGACCAGTAAAATACCAAAATAGAATCCAGTCTCTTTAAGTTTCTTCTTTCCATGTTATGCTACTTCTGCAAAGTCCTACACAAATAAAGAATTCCTATACTTTTACCAGTCCCCCTAGAAAAAAATTTATCATTCTAATTTTAACACGTGCCTCCAAAGCAAGCATGAAAATATTTAAATATAAATATTGTTTCTCGATTTGTAGAAAAAATTAGCATTTTTTAAAGATTTATTTATTTATATTTAGAGAGAGAGTGGGGGGCAGAGGGAGAGAATCTCAAGCAGACTCCCCGCTGAGCATGGAGCCCAAGGTGGGGCTCAATCTCATGACCCTGAGATCATGACCCGAGCCGAAATCAAGAGTCGGATGCTTAACTGACTGAGCCATCCAGGCGCCCTGAAAATTAGCATTTCTTAAAGGTGAAATCTTACCCTTGATCCTGACACTGCCATGTCTAGTTCAGTGCTGATGCCGACACTCAATACCTCATCGGTGTGTCCATACAGAATCTGAAAGGGTTTAGATGCTAAGCCCACAGGAACACCTCCCTAATGTTAAAAGAGAAGCAAAGGTTTAATTTTCTAGTAGATTATTTTCTGCAAAAAGGTTTGCACTATATTTAAATTGTCTAATCACAAAGTAACATTGCAACTAGTTCTTACCACAGCATCTATTCATAACAGGACTCATTCTTATGTTCCTCCTTGGATTCTCAAATTATTCTGTCTTTTGAAGCTCTAAAACTTAACCTGAATAGTTCCAAAATTGCTTGCTTTGGATTAATTCTAACAGGTATATTATTTGCCCTTCCTTTACTACAAACAAACTTCATATTCTTTCTCTGAATACTTTTTTTTTTTTTTGGTTGACATAAGATGTCAGGTATACAACGATTCAACAATTCTATAAATTACACACTGCTGACCATGGTAAGTGTAGTTATCATCTGTCACCATACAATATTATTATATTAGCTACGTTCCCTATGCTGTATTTCTGTGACTTATTTTATAGAATTATTTTAAATCTTTATTTCATATTAATAATTTGATATTCAGCCACATCAAATCTGTTGCTTACTGTTTCTACTTTTGAGTTTATATTTTATAATGGTATTGGTTTTAATATTGGTTTGATTCTTCTGCAATCATTCTTTTCATCTTATTTTAAGATTTATTTTTACTTTAGAGAGAAAGAGAGCGCACACGCATGAGCGAGTGGGGGGGGGGCAGAAGGAGGGAGAGAGGCAGACTCTCCACTGAGTGTGGATATGCATGCAGAGCTTCATCTTACAACCTGGAGACCACGACCTGAGCCGAAATCAAGAGTCAGTCCCTTGGCCTACTGAGCCACCCAGGTGCCACTCCTTTTCATCTTTTTTTTTTTTTTTTTTTAATTTATTTGAGAGAGAGTGAGTGAGAGAGCACGAGCAGGGACAGAGGGAGAAGGAGAAGCAGACTCCCCACTGAACAGGGATCCTGACACGGGGCTCGATCCCAGCTGGGATCGTGACCTGAGCTGAAGGCAGACGCTAAACCAACTGAGCCACCCAGGCACCTCTCCTTTTCATCTCACTATGCCACTATATAATTTCATCTTTGAGGTCCTTAAGCCTGTTTTACTGAATTGATATTCTTATGTTCTTCTAATAGCGCAATTTTATTGCAGGGAATCTCTCTACACTTGAGTTGCTGTCTTCACCTGTTTTTAGCATGTTTTGTTTGTACATTACTTTCTATGATATAGAATGAGTAGTTGCCATGGTATTTGTTTATAATTATCCTAGATAACTCTGGATAGGTAGATAACATTTACCTGTGCTATATAATGTAGATGAATTCCCATCAATACTCCTATCTGGGACACATTTGTCTTCCTCTAAGATTGTCAGTCTGAATGCTTCGTGTACTTTAATTTATAAAAATCAGGTAATTCCTATATTATTTAAGCATTTCAAATTACAGAGAAAGATGGACCCTTCTCAAAATCATTTTATAAAGTTTGCATATCCCTACACTAAATATGGCAAAGACAAAACAAATACAGATTTATTTCACATATGAGTAGAGAAATACAGTACTAGCAAATATAATTCTGTAGTAAAATATAATACGTTGTGAATTATATGGGTTTATTATAGGAATTCAAGACTGGTTCAAACCTTGGAGACTTTTCAACATAATACATTAAGACAAAGAGAAAAGCTATGAATAAAAAAAAGGAAAAGAAACTGAAAAATAGCTGAAAAGGACATTATGGGAACTACTGACAAAATCAGAACATGAACTGTGGATTAGATAATTTGTATTGTATATTGTATAAATGTTAAGTGCTCTGATTTTGATAAATAACTGTGGTTATATATAAAAAAGACTTGTTCTTAGAAAATACACACTGAAGTGTTTAGGGGTAAAGGAACATAATATCTACAACCTTTTTTTTTTAAGATTTTATTTTTAAGTAATCTATACCCAATATGGGGCTCCAACTCACAACCCCGAGATCAAGAGTTGCATGCTCTACCGACTGAGCCAGCCAGGTGCCCCTACAATGTTTAAATTGCTCCCCTGCCAAAAAAAAGATGCTGTGAGAAAGACATCAGAAGAGAATAACACAAATGCAAAACTGTAGTATTTTTGTACTGAGATTTTACTAAAAAGCTACCAAAAGAAAAAAAAAACAGACGCTAACTACTTAAATATAAAAAAACACAACGCAACAACAATGTATAATGCAATACAACAGCAAATGCTACACTAAATGGCACAACAGTGAAGGCACTTTCATCAAAATCAGACAGAAGACAGGGATGCTCACTATAATTTTTTTGCCCTATGCATTAGGTAATAATGTAACAAGATAAGAATATGAAATCATTAGTATACTGGAAAAGATAAATCCACCTTTATTTTCATTGTAAGATTCTGTATCTATTTTCGGAAAATCTAAGAAATACTAATAATTATAAGAACTGGATAAAAAGATTTGGTAAACCAATTAGATAACTGTATAGAAATCAATAGGTTTTTTTTACAGTAACCATAATCAATTAGAAGTAAAAATGATTTTTAAAAATCCCACCAAAATATTATGATAATTACAAATAAACATTAAAAAGTACAGAACCTAATAGAAAAAAATTACTAAAAGATTTTATTGAAGAACAGTAAAAAAAGAACTGAAATAAATATGGAAAGACATTTTCTATTTCTGGGAAGGCATGATTATAAAAATGTCAACCCATACCAAATTAACATATAAATTAAATATAATTTCATCAAGACTAAAATGGAGTTTTTGAGGAAGATATGGTTAAAATATTTTTAAAGTTTATATGGAAGAATAAACACTAATATAAGATAGCTGAGAACATTTTTTATAAGGCAACACAGTGAGAAATTAGTTTTACCAAATATTAAACTACTAAAATAAAAACATCTTGGTGTTGCCATAGAAATAAGTTAAGTGTAAAAATATGGGTAATCTAGAAAAAGATCCAATCCATTGGGTAATCATTTATGCTGGCATAAATGACTTTCCACCCAGAAGTAAACAAAATCATATATTTTAACATTCTATATTACTAAATATATATTATATACTCTCTCTATATTCTATCATATATATATCTACATAGTATATATCTAATACTCTTATTCTATGTTAAAAATTATAGAAAAGTTAATTACCAATGGATTAAAGATTAAAATGTAAAAGAAATAAAGCAAGAAAAATATTACAAGAAAATTTTTAGGTAATTATTTTAATAAATTTGGAGAAGAAAGCCTGTTAAGCAAAGTAGAAAACCTAAAAGCCATAAAGAAAAAAGACACTTCCTTGAAGCAACATTATAATGAGAGTACAACACAGTTGATAAAAATGATAAATCTGTAATTTTTAGTAGTCCCACCAGAAAGGAAGACAATGTGTAACTACCTGTTGTGTTATTTGCCATATCATACATGTAGTGTCTCTGGAACCAGAAATCAAATGTATTCCACAGTAATCTGTAGCTAAACAAGTCACAATATCTGTAAGAAAAAAGGAATTACAAAGAATGAAAACGGTGGGGTTTTGCAGGAATAGAACTCTAAGGGCAATTTTAGTTTATGTTCCATTACTCAATCAGTTGTTTAGCAGGAGAAATGTAAGAATGGCAATGGAAAAAGCACTGGAAAAGGGTGACACAGGAAAGAAGCAGTATTTTTTTTTTAAAGATTTTATTTTTAGGGCGCCTGGGTGTACATGCCCCGACCCCAAATTTTGGCTCAGGTTGTGATCTCAGAGTTGTGAGATCAGGCTCTGAATTGGGCTCGTGCTCAGCATGGGGTATGCTTGGAATTCTCTCTCTCCCTCTGCCACTCCACCCTTCCCCCCTCTCTAAAATAAATAAATAAAATCTTTTAAAAACCCCACAAATATGTTAAAGATTTTATTTTTAAGTAATCTCCACACTCAATGTGGGGCTCAAACTTACAACCCTGAGATCAAGAGTTACATGCTCCACCATCTGAGCCAGGCGCCCCAGGAAAGCAGCAGTATTAAACTCAAGTAGGAGAGTTTTCTTTGAGGCCACCCGGCTTTGAGAGTGAAGAGTACACATGGGACAGGGAGATGTCTGTTGGAGTCCAGGCAGTGGGTTAGGTGGCTTGGAATGGATCCCCAGGAAGTTTTGATTTGCTTCTCTGCTTTCTCACTCTCTAATTTCCATTCACGTTCTACTCCCATTAGGAACTGCAATCCTGTGGAATATGTGCCCCTAACCAAAATAGTACAAAATACACTACAAATTCTCAATATGAAAAACATTTTTGCTAAACGGTAAAAACCTGAGCTAAGTGGCATCTCAGGAGCCACCTGTATAGAAGTAGTAGCAGATTCCATTTCCCTTTCTTAATAGGTTTATTAGGGGAAAATCTACAAGATGGATGTTTTATTTTGTTTTTAGAGACAGTGACTGTGGGGGGAGGGAGGGACCAAAGGAGAGGAGGAGAGGGAGAGAGAGAAAAAGAGAAAGAGAGAGAATCTTAAACAGATTCCATGCCCAGCGTGGAGCCCAGTGCAGAGCCTGACGAGGGCTGATCTCACAACCCTGAGATCATGACCCAAGCTGAAATCAAGAGTTGGATGCTTAATCTACTGAGCCACCCATGTGCTCCCACAATGTTCTATTCTTATATTGAAGGCTGAAACACTAAGGAGCACCAGGTTAAACTACATTCAGTAATTTACCTCCCTCATGTTTAACTGTTAACTAATAGGGCAGGTGATGTCTTATTCAACTATGACAGATTTTTTTTTAATTCCATTTTGTCTTAAAATTCTTATTTGTATCAACCAATTTTTATTTTTTAAAGATTTATTTATTTTGAGAGAGAGGCGGGGGGGTAAAGGGAAAGGAAGAGAATCTCAAGCAGACTCCCTGCTAGTTGTGGAGACCAATGTGGAGCTCCATCCCACCACCCTGGGATCATGACCTGAGCAGAAATCAAGAGTTGGATGCTCAACTGCCTGAGCCACCCAGACACCTTGTATCACCTAATTTTTAAAAAAAGACTTAGCCTAACATTGTTCAGATACTATGAAGCTCTATTTAATTTGTATGGTATTTAGTATACCCTAAATACATTAAATACTCGTAAAGAAAGCATAATGTTCATAACACTACTCTATGAGAAAGTTTACTTAGCTTTGAAGGTAAATTTTAATGCTCTTTATAGGACCATGTACTACTTTTGTAGTTAGAAGAAACAGAGAAAATATTTTTGGGGAAAAAAAGTTAATACTTACCCATGTGTCTGATACTGTGTGAAATAATTTTGCCTTTTGTAAGTGACATCACTTGAATGCTATTATCCCAGTGTCCAGCACTGAAAAGCAACTTCGCATCATGTGATACTATGAATAGCTTAGAAGTGATCTCCAGCCCTGGAGCAAAAGGACCATTCATACTACGCTGAGTTCTGTAAACACAATTAAACATTAGACTTTTCCTTAAAAGACCACTTAGACTGATACCAACTATTTTTTAAATCTCTCTGAAAAATAAAGAAAAACAAATCTGTTCAACTGTTCAATTTGAAATGTCCACTAATGAATGATAACGACTTTCCGAAAATACATTAATCATATTCATATTTTTCATTACATAAAAAGATACATAACAAATAGTCTCAAGGGTTAAGCTAAAGAAGTTGAGACTGCTGAAGGTGTGTAGAAGATTTAAATCTTGCCTTTCAAAGCCAACTTAGGAAGATTGTTAATTCTGTAAATGGTAGTATCAAAGTATAAAAGACAAGACAAGGATATGACAGGATGAGGAAAGCTGGAAATCAACTGAAACCAGGAATCTACTGCACAGGCAGATAAATGTGTATCTAACAATATTCATGAAGATCATTTTTCACTCAAACTAAAGCAAGCATATGGGTTTTATCTGCTTTCCAGTTAAATAAATACCCGTGAGGTCAGCCAATCTAGATTTTGCAGAAAGACACAAAGAAGTTATATGCAACGAACGAACTGTTGAACACTACATCAAAAACTAACGATGTACTATATGTTGGCTAATTGAACGTAAAAAAATAAAAAGAAGTGATTGCACTTCAGTGTGTGTACAGAGAATGAGGGCCAATTCTGACAGTTCAGCCCTAGAACTTTATTATTCAATATTAATTTGCTGAAGGTATGCTTTGTGCCAAGCACAACAATACTAAGTCCTAAATGTGAATAAGAAGGAAAAAAGACATTGCTCCTAATAAACATACAGCTAAAACAACTCAGAGTAAGGGAAACATTAATTTAAAATGTAACCTCTGGATATTTAAACAATTAACTAAGGTATGTACAAATAAATAAATAAATAAATAATAATACAATAAAATAAAATTTAAAAAATTAAAAATTAAAAAATAAACTAAGGTAAATAATAAATTCTCATAAAAAACACACAAGGCTTACTTATAAATAACACTGTACAACAAAAACACAATCAAGCCTAAAAACTACTCCTAATAATTTGTTTTTTTTTTTTTTAAGATTTTATTTATTTGTCAGAGAGAGAGTGCACAAGCAGGGGGAGAAGGGGAGTGGCAGGTGGAGGGAGAAGCAGGCTCCCCGCTGAGCAAGGAGCATGATGCAGGGCTCGATCCCAGGACCCTGGGATCATGACCCAAGCCAAAGGCAGACACTTAACCAAGTCACCCAGGTATCCCTAATTTCTGTTTCTATAATATTATAGAAATTGTTTTATCCTTAAGCCAGTATTCAAGTCAGGAAAAGGGAAAGAGGGAAGAAAATCTGCGGGTCTACTGTATTACTTTCAAAATGACACCAATCAATTTAGTTGTTTTTCCTGGCAATAAGGTACCAGCTGCACCTGTTTTGCTTTAAATGTTCATTTACTTACTTTGGATTTGTTACAGTTTGATCTTTGATGAATGTAAAGTAATTAGAAATGTTTCTGTCATAAGGCAGCCATCCATGGGTTCCAACAATGTAATTCATGCTTACTGTTATCTGGAAAAGAACACATGAAGACAAAAATGAAATAAAAGATTAAAGAAAGCAGCACTAAATAACCAAATGCTCACATGATGTTATCATTTATCATTTAAGGAATAATGTGGGATTGTGTACTTAAAGCACAAAATTCATTAATTCTTTTTTTAAGATTTCATTTTTAGGTAATTTCTACACCCAAAGTGGGGCTCAAACTCACAACCCTGAAATCACATGTTCTACTGACTGAGCCAGCCAGGTGCCCTGCATAAAGTCAAAAGCTCTTTATTTTTAGTTTATCTTATATCTCGTGGCAAGAAAAGTCCAATGCATCTTTTTTTTTTTAAAGATTTTATTTATTTGAGAGACAGAGAGAGAAAGAGCATGAGCAGGGGGAGGGGCAAAGGAAGAGGGACAAGCAGACTCCCCACTGAGTGGAGAGCCCAACGTGGGGCTCAATCCCAGGACCCTAAGGTCATAACCTGAGACTGTCAGATGCTCAACTGACTGAGCCACCCAGGTGCCTCTGTATCTTTCTTTAGTGAGATAATTTTCCTCATTATTTCTCAAAGATTACTAGCATCTATTAGTTGGCAGTCAGAAGACATTAAAACTCATTAAAAGAAATTAGAAGCTCTCTCTTAGTGACAGAGCGAATATTTTTTTTAAAGATTTATTTATTTGAGAGACAGCAAGTGAGTGAGTGCAGGGAGGAGGGGCCGAGTGAGAGAGAGAATCCCAGGCAGACTCCCCTCTGAGCATGAAGCCTGACGCAGGGCTTTCTCTTACAACCCTAAGATCATGACCTGAGCCAAAATCAAGAGTCAGAGCAGAGGCTTAACCAACTGAGCCACCCAGGTGCCCCCTACAGTGAATATTCTTTTGAAAAATGAAAAGATCCCCCCATAGATTATAAAAGATTACCAAAGAGATAACTTAAAAAAATACAGGTATTAAAGGTGAAAATCACAAGAATTCTACCATTGAAAGGCACTTTTTTTTTTGGATATATCTTTCTAGACCTTTTTTCTAAGCAAACAAACAATATGCATAATTAGAAAAATAGGTTTAATTCTGGAATCTCTACTGTTCCCTGTGCTGTACTCTATTGTTATAATTTGTACATGACAAAATGAGAATCAGACAGACCTAGGTTTGGTCTGTGTGCCTGGGTCCCAGATCCCTTACTTGCTAGCTCTGCAACTATGAGCAAATTAATTACTTCTGAGTTTTAATTTCTCATCTGTACAAGGGAAATAATAATAGTGCCTATCTCACAGGATTGTCAGGTGGATTAAATTACAAAATTCACGTAAAGCACTCACTAACAAGTCCTGAGTGTATACCTTAATCAATTCTGTATTATTTCTTATTTTCATTCTTTTACTGCCTTATGATATATTGTAACAGATGATGTTATATCCTATTTTTCTTGTACAAAATTTTCTGGTATTTTCAGATATTTATTATTCCAAATAAACTTTAGAATTACAGTTAACTACTTGAATAACATTATGAAACTAGAAGTCAACCTCAAGAAAAAAATCTGGAAAGACCACACATACATGGGGGTGAAATAGCAGGCTCTTAAACAATGAATGGGTCAACCAGGAAATAGAAGAAGAAATAAAATATATGGAAACAAAAGAAAATGAAAACACAACGGTTTAAAACCTTGGGGATGCAGCAAAAGTGGTGCTAAGAGGGAAGTACATAGCAATAGAGGCCTACCTCAAAAAGCAAGGAAAATCTCAGTCTAACCTTAATACCTAAAGGAGCTAGAAAAAGAAAAACAAATGAAGCCTAAAGTGAGCAGAAAGAATGAAATAATAGATTTGAGCAGAAATAAATGATAAGCTAAAAAAATTATACAACAGATCAATGAAACCAGGAGCTGGTTATTTGAAAAAAATAATACAATTGATAAACCTGCAGAGACACTCAATTGAAAAGGTGTGCCTGGGTGGCTCAGTCGGTTAAACCTCCAACTCTTGATTTTGGCTCAGGGTTGTGAGATCAAGCCCCACATCTGGTTCCCCACTCAGTGGGGAGTCTGCTGGAGATAGTATCCCTCTCCCTCTGTCCCTCCCCCTGCTCGCTGGCTCTCTCTAAAATAATAAATAAATCTTAAAAAAAGAGAAAGGACTCAAATAAATAAAATCACAAATGAGAGAGGAAAAATAACAACCAACACCACAGAAATACAAACAATTATAAGAGAATATTATGAAAAACTATATGCCAACAAACTGCACAACCTGAAAGAAACAGATAAATTCCTAGAAACACATAAATTGCCAAAGCTGAAACAGGAAGAAACAGAAAATTTGAACAGACTGATAACCAGCACTAATTTAAAGGGATATGTGTATCCCAATATTTATAGCAGCATTACTACAAATAGCCAAACAGCCCAAGTGTCCATCAATTGATGAATGGATAAAGATGTGGTCTGTCGATCGATCTATCCATCCATCCATCCATCCATCCATCCATCCATCCATCCATCCATCCATCTATACATAATGGAATATTACTCAGCCATAAAAAGGATAAAATCTTGCTGTTTGCAGTGACATGGATGGAGACAGAGAGTATTACGCTAAGCAAAATAAGTCAGTCAAAAACAAATACCATATGATTTCACTCACATGTGGAATTGAAGAAACAAAACAAATGAGTGAAGAGGAAAAGGGGGGGTGGCAAACCAAGAAACAGACTCTTAATTACAGATAACAAACTGATGGTTACCAGAAGGGAGGTGGGAGGGGAGATGGGTTAAACAGGTGACCAAGGGTAGGGGAGGGGGTTAAGGAGTACACCTGCTCTGATGAGCACCGGGTGATACATGGAAGTGCTGAATCACTATATTGTACACCTGAAACTAATATTACACTGTATGTTAACTAACTGGAATTTAAATGAAAACTTAAAAAAAAATTTTTGGTTCTAAAAACTGACCAAAAGCAAATAATAAATTGAGACATATTTATCGAAAGAAAAAAAAAAGAATTAAAGGTAAGTAATTGAAATAAAAGCTGTGTATCTAGAAGACATTTTTTTTTTTTAAAGATTTATTTATTTATTTATTTGAGAGAGCAAGAGAGCACATGAGCAGGAGGGGCAGAGGGAGAGGGAGAGAGAATCTCAAGCTGACTCCACAATGAGCGTGGAGCCCTATGCTGGGCTCCGTCTTAGGACCCTGACATCACAACCTGAGACGAAACCAAGAGCTGGATGCTTAACTGACTGTGCCACCCAGGCACCCATAGAAAATACATTTTTATATTTGATCAAAATAATTCCATAAAAATCTTCTTTATTATTTTTAAGAAGTCTTTAAAAATGTATTTTCTCAATTTTTTTTATAGTTATAATGTATTTGGATGTAGCAGTGTGAAAAAACTATAAATCGACTTACCAGTAACTCAGGACTGCCTTGAGACATAAAAGAACGAGACTGATTTTTGGGGACAATGGCCTTTATTAGTGGAACACCATCACTAATTCCCTATAAAATAAAGACAGAGGCTTAGTGGCTGGTTCTGCTTATCTTTATTAGGTTTAAGTTATTGAAAACTTCTATTTCTTTAAATAAGAATGAACCCTGTGATACAGCATTTTATTCTACCAAAACATATCATTTAATTAAAATGTAGAAAAGGAGAATCACTATGCTGTACACTTAAACTAATGTAACGCTGTGTGTCAAATATACTTTAATTTAAAAAAAAAAGGCTAAAAAATGTAGGAAAGGAACTATGTACCAGGTTTGGGTGGCATACTTGAAACTTCTAAAACCCATCATTTTCTTGTATTCTACTACTCTGCTGTGAAACAGAAATGCAGATTTCAAGGAGCATCAACCATTTAAAACAGCCAGTGATTTAGAATCTTTCCTTTTTCCTTGCCATACTGACTGACATGAATATAAAGTAGAAAATACAGACCATATAAGAGTATATTGCTCAATTAAGTCAAATAGGACAACTGGCTATATTTTTTTGTAGAATTTCCCTTTGGGTTTAACTTTTAAAACATAGATCTATTCCATTAAGTGAGGCAATCCCTGAATGCTGTAACAATAGGGCCAGAAAATACAGTTCTCAGAAAATATCTGCCATTATCTTATTACAACATGAAAGAGAATAGCGATTTGAACTGTTTTTTGATGTAACAATAGTTCATATATTATATCTCACATTTATTAAATTATAACCTAACACTATGGGGTATATACTATGTGCCAGGTGCTATTCTAAGAGTCTTATATAAATTAAATAATGAATTATAAACCATATAAAATTAGTCCCTATCTTTTCTCTTCACTCTGTGAATCAAGAGAACTTACATTTGAACAAACATAAATGAACATGGCATTTGAAGAAATCCATTTATTAGGCCTTTGCTTTCACTACTACCTCTGTTTTCTTCACCATTTTAACAACTAGGAAGAGATAACCTACAGAGAGGCCTTCTCTTTTCATATGAATGAGTGGGGAAATACCCTCCCCTATGATAACATAAAGGGATTAACAGATTATTAGTACCCCAGGATATCTATTGTGTTCTTTGTCCTGCTCCAGATACTGGTCCTGGGAATAGCTACCCTGTGACATAGTGGGTACAAAGGGACAAATGTCACTGAATCTGCAGATGGAACTTGGAATGCACTATTCTGTAAAAACAATGTCACAGATGATTAGACATGATAAATCATTTTATCACCATTGCATAATATAGTACAACATGTCCATCAGATTATGTGTTAAATAATGGGTTGCCCTATGTGCAGTAAAGAGTAAACACAGCAGGCTCGAAACAACTCTCCTTAGAAAGGCCTTCCTGCAAGGTTGGCCCTTGGCTGGCATCTGGGAACTTGGCGGGCAGAGTTCCCTGCACTGATATAAAACTTGTCCTCAATGACAAAAGTGGTTCGCTATTTCTAGATTATTTGTGCAAACAACATGGTTTATGCTGAAGACCCTAATTTCTCCTGGGAGTCTGGAATTTTGCCATGTGCTAGGCAGAGGTTACCTATGTGACCAGCCCCCAGTAAATACCCTGGGTGTTGAGTCTCGATGAGCTTCCCTGGTTAGATAAACATGTGTTTTCACATTTCATTACTGGGAGAATTAAGCATGTCCTATGTGACTCTCCTGGGAAAGGATTCTTGGATGCTTGTACCTGGTTTCCCCCATACTCCACCTCATGTGCTTTTGCCCTTTGCTGATGTTGTTTTGTATCCTTTCACTGTAATAAACTTTAGTTGTGCGTACAACTATATGTTGAATACTGTGAGTCCTTCTAGCAATCACCAAACCTGAGAATGGTCTTGGGGACCCAGAACACATCTAGGAATTAGTCATCATTTCTCTTTTCTTTCTTTCTAAAAGTTAAGCTCTATGCCTAATGTGAGATTTGAACTCACCATCCCAAGATCAAGAGTCACATGTTTTACTGACTGAGCCAGCCAGGGGCCCCAAATTAGTCATCATTTCTAAGCACTGTTTCTATGTATGCTGAGTTCCAGGCAACTGACTTAGATACTTTGGGAAAACAACTGAATCTGGAGAGTTTGTATTGTTAAACACTAAATAACTATATCTCACTAAACATGAATCTAGGAAAGGAGCAGCAAGAATTATGAAGTGCTTTCAGAAACATGGGAAAACATTTACATTAAACTACTACAGAAAATACTACAACATTATTCATTTGAATAAAACTCAGTAGAAAGCTAACTATAATAGAAACGTCCTAAAATTTTTTTATACCAAATTATCAAAAAATTCTGTAAAGATTTCCCATGATACTGAACCTAAGAAACACATTATAATGATGCTCTAATGCAGGATTGGACAAATTTGGCCTATGGTACAAGTGCAGCCTACCACCCGTTTTATAGGCTGTGGGTAAGCAAAGAATGGTTTTTACATTTTTAAATGGTTCTATTTAAACTGGTTACATATGTACCTACATAACATTCTTGATTTTGCCTTTTGACTACAGAGTCCAAAATATTTACTATCTGGCCCTTTAAGAAAAGTTTACCAATGTCTATTGTATTGCATGAGAGTTATTGCTTATTCCACACATTTCCAAACTATTCTTAATAACTTTTTATCATCATTTTTTCTTCTTGCCAAGAATATTATGTCTTAACCAAATTCATAGGTATAAATGCATTTCATATTCACATGCTGAACCATTCAAAGTAATTCAACATGTATAAACATTTGAATTTAAAGTACTCTTTCAATTATAGCATTAACTATCTTGTTTTACTTGATTATTCCTTCTGATACCAGCAATTAACAATCTGACTTATTGGGCCATATTTTATAAATGAGCAGACACTATAATTAGGAGGTATTTTACACTCCCTCTGCATATCATTTCAGCTGTCATGAAAAGCAATTTAAATCAAATTATTTATTCTTCCTTGTCTGGAAAATGTGACATAGAATAAAGCAAGCCAAGATAAACAGGTCTCAGTACCACTCAGCAGCAAACAAAAACTTCCAGTAAGATTGTTTTAAAAATCCAAGAACATATTATTGCAACATTATTTACTATTTTGGATTAAATATTATGACCCCTCCCTTTACAGAATAAAAGGAGCATTGACTGGTATATAGAATTCACAGAGAAAAAGCTTTGATATTACCAAGTTGGATATTACCTCTATAAAAAATGACTTGAGTTCAGAGAGGTGTTGAAATAGGTTTAGGGTTGAAGTGTCTGTTTTGGTCTGCTTCTGCACTGTTTCTTCTGCTGACAATCTAGGAGGATGTGGTTCCTTCAAAATAATTTTAAGAAAAAACAATTCCATAACTATATTAAGACATCTCTCACTGTACTCCTTTGTACATACTGGGCTCTAGATATACTGGATTACATACCATGCACTGTTGACAAATTCTAGGCCACTGTTCAGACTACTCCTTCAGCAGAGTTTTTACCCTGTTCATTTCTAGAGAAACCCTACTTCTACTTTAAAGTTTTTCTTACTGATGTATTCTTGAATTTCTAAGCTAGAATTAATTATTCTCTTTTATTATTTTTACCAACACATTGCTTTGTTTAGTATTTTATTTAGTAATTATTTCTATGTTGGATTACATAGTTGTTTATGGTCTATCTTTTCCAACCAGGCAATGGGTATCTTTTTTAAGATTTTTTTTTTTTTTTAAGTAATCTCTACACCCAATGTGGGGCTTGAACTCAACAACCCCGAGATCAAGAGGTGCACACTCCACCAATTGAGCTAGTCAGGTACCCTTAGGTAAAAGGTATCTTAAAATCAAAAAACAAATCTTATTCATTTTTGGATTTTTGATACCTAGAATCGTATGTAAGTATGACAGATGCTTAATAAATACTTGGTAAAATTAAATGAATCATTCAAAAGTCAAAATTTATATGGGTGAATCCTTATTTCCTGAAATAAAATAAAAAATGTCAATACTATCAGAATCCAATTATAAATATTGCTCCAACTGTTTTCAAATAAATTATTCTTCCTTAACTTTAATGTCAGCAACATAGAATAGTGTTACCTTCATAAATAAGAAGTAAATGGCAAATCAAATTAACAAGCAAAAGGCATAATTAAAATGCAGAACAGAATTTCATCTAAAGGGGATTTTTCTATCCCCATCACAAAATATTAGATTATAGAAAAATAATATGACAGCTATAAGTACCTCAATATTTAGCTCTCAATCCATATGAGTATTTATTCACTTTATTTTAAATCAAAGGCTGACTAGGCATTAAGATGGTGGAGGAGTAGGGGGACCCTAAGTTTGTCTCATCCCACAAATACAACTAGATAAGTTATCAAATCATCCTGAACACCCAAGAAATCAATTGGAGGTCTGAGAAAAGAAATGCTGCAGGTCTACAAGTAGAAAAGCAACCACTGTTTGGAAGGTAGGAGGCACAGAGACTTGAATCTGGTGTGATATAGCTGAGGATACAGCAGTGGGGAGGGGGGCCTACTTAAGGAGGCTACCACAAAGTATTATAAGCAACGGAGTGCAAAATCAGAACTTATAGAAGACTGCAACTACAGTGAGGGACATGCCTGGCTTAAAGGTGCTCAGATGGTGAAGTGGGGCAGAATCCCAGGTGTCAGAGCGTGATCTGAGGATCCCTGGGGTCACAAGAAGAATGTGTGGCAGCTCAGTACGGCACAGTTCCCAGGTAGAGAAGTGTAGAAGCCACCTGAGAACAGCGAGTCTAAGTGCCAGCTTTCTGCTTTGTGTTGCCATAAACTGATCCCCTGCATGATCAAGTGACTGCTTTCCTGAGACAGGTCCGCTAAATGGCAGAAGTGCGGGGAGACCATCCCTGGGAAGAACAGCGCAGGTCCAAACTGTGGGAGTCCCTAAACTTTGGAGTTTTGAAACTCAGTCGCGTGCCTGGGATAAAAAAGCTCGGACACAGGCAGGGTGAACACAGAGTTCTGACAGAAACGGGGGAGACAAGAGTGATTGAGTGCTTTTCTGTGAGGGCTCACTGAAGAGTGGGGAGTGCAAATTTTCAGCTCCGGGGCTCGAAAGCAGAATGCTGCCATATCCATCATGCCCATCTGTGCTGAAGTCTTCAGGGAGCAAAAGAGTAGCCCCTAGTGGAGCCTGGAGCCACTTACACCAAGCCCTGCCTCCTTGTGCACTGCAGGTGCATTTCCACTAGGGCAATTCCACCTGAGAATCAGCATAGCAGGACCATTCCCCCAGGAGACCAGCACAAACAACTCCCTTGCACCAAGTCTACTGATCATAGATGGCTGAAAAACTTCGGCTCTAGGGGAAAACAGTAAATAGCATTCTTTGTATTTTTATTCTTTAGTTGTTATTTTATTTTTTTCCAATTCTTTTTTTAATCCTTTTTTAATTTTCACTTTTATAAACATTACATATATGTTTTATTTTTTGTTTCTTTTCATTGTATTTATATATTTTTTTCTTATTTTGGGATCTAGTTTATTTTATTTTTAAGATTTTATTTATTTGAGAGAGTGAGAGAGAGATCATGAGCAGGTGGGAAGGGTAGAGGGAGAAGCAAACTCCCCACTGAGCAAGGAGCCCAATGTGGGACTCGTCGATACCAGGGCCCTGGCATCATGACCTGAGCTGAAGGCAGAGGCTTAACCAACTGAGCCACCCACGTGCCCGGGATCTAGTTTATTTTAACAAGTAGACCAAAACACATCCAGGATTTAGTTTCTTTCTGTTGCTGTTATTGTTGTTTTTTTTCTTTTTCTTTTCTTTTCTGGACAAAATGACAAGACAGAGAAATTCACCCCAAAAGAAAGAACAGGAGGTAGTACTCACAGCCAGGGATTTAATCTATACAGATATAAGTAAGATATCTGAACTAGAATTTAAAACAATGATTATAAAGATACTAGTTGGGCATGAATAAAGTAGAGAAGACACTAGAGAAGAATCCTTTACCGTAGAGATAAAAGAACTAAAATCTAGTCAGGTCAAAATTTCAAATGCTGTAACTGAGATACAGACCCAAGTGGAGGCCATAAAAACAAGGCTGAAGAAAGCAGAAGAGTGAATCAGTAATACAGAAGATAAAATTACAGAAAGTAATGAAGCTGAAAAGAAGAGGGAAATAAAACTATTAGAGCATGAAGGTAGACTTAGGGAACTCAGTGATTCCAAAAAGCAAAATAATATCTGTATTAGAGAAGTCCCAAAAGAAGAGAGGGAAAAAGGGGACAGAAGGTTTATATGAACAAATCATGGCTGAGAACTTTCCTAACCTAGGGAAGGAAACACACATTCAAGTCCAAGAGGCACAGAGAACTCCCCACAAAAGCAACAAAAATAGGTCAACACCATGACATATTATAGTGAAACTTACAAATTACAAAGATAAAGAGAAAATCCTGAAAGCAGCTTGGGACAAGAGGTCCTTAACCTACAAGAGTAGACATGTAAGGCTGGCAGCAGACCTGTCCACAGAGACCTGGTAGGTCAGAAAGGACTGGTATGATATATTCAACGACCTAAATGGGAAAAATATGCAGCCAAGAATACTTTATCCAGTAAGGCTGTAATTCAGAATAGGAGGAGAGATAAAAACTCCAAGATAAACAAAAACTAAAGGAATTTGTGAACAATAAAGCAGCCCGGATTAATGGGGGCCATCTGAGCAAAAGACAGACCAAAAGTAACAAAGACCAGAAAGGAACAGAGACAATCTACAGGAACAGCGACTTTACAGGTAATACAATGGCACTAAATTCGTATCTTTCAATAATTACTCTGAAAGTAAATGGACTAAATGCTCCAATCAAAAGACACAGGGTATCAAAATGGATAAAAAAACAAGACCCATTCATATACTGCCTAAAAGAGACTAATTTCAGACCCAAAGACACCTCCAGATTGAAAGTGAGGGGGTGGAGAACCATTTATTATGCTAATGGACATCAAAAGAAAGCTGGAGTAGTCATCCTTATATCAGACAAACTAGATTTCAAATTAAAGACTGTAATAAGAGACGAAGAAGGACACTGTATCGTAATTGAAGGGTCCACCCAACAGGAAGATCTAACATTTGTAAATACTTATGTCCCTAACTTGGGAGCAACCAAATATATAAATCAATTAATAACTTAAAGAAAGTCATTGATAATAATACAGTAACAGTAGGGAACATCAAAACCCCACTCACAGCAATGAACAGATCACCTAAGCCAAAGATCAACAAGGAAACAAGGGCTTTGAATGACACACTGGACCAGATGGACTTCACAGATATAATCAGAGCATTTCATCCTAAAGCAGCAGAATACACATTTTTTTAGAGTGCACACGGTACATTCTCCAGAAGAGATCACATACTGGGTCACAAATCAGGACTCGACCAGTACAAAGAAGACTGAGATCATACCATGCATTTTTTTGGACCACAATGCTATTAAGCTTGAAGTGAACCACAAGAAAAAATCTGGAAGGACCACAAATACATGGAGGTTAAAGAACATCCTACTAAAAAATGAATAGGCCCATCAGGAAATTAAAGAAGAATTAAAAATAAATACATGGAAGCAAATGAAAATGAAAGCACGACAGTTCAAAACCTTTGGAATGCAGCAAAGGTGGTCCAGGGTGAAGTAAATAGCAATACAGGCCTTCCTCAAGAAACAAGAAAAGGCTCAAATACACAGCCTAAACTTACACCTACAGGAGCCAAAGAACAGCTAATAAAGCCTAAACCCAGCAGGAGAAGATAATTAATAAAGATCAGAGCATAAATCAATGAAATGGAAACCAAAGAACAGTAGAACAGATCAGTGAAACTAGCAGCTGGTTCTCTGAAAGAATTAATAAGATCGATAAACCCCTGGCCAGACTTATCAAAAAGAGAAAGGACCCAAATAAATAAAATCATGAATGAAAGAGGAGAGATCACAACCAATACCAAAGAAATACAAACAATTATAAGTGAATATTATGATCAATTATATGCCAACAAATTAGGCAATCTAAGACATGGATAAATTCCTAGAAATATATGAACTACCAAAACTTAAACAGGAGAAAATAGAAAACCTGAACAAACCCATAACCAGCAAAGAATTTGAATCAGTAATTTGAATCTCCCAATAAACAAAAGCCCAGGGCTGGATGGCTTGTCCGGAGGAATTCTACCAAACATTTGAAGAATTAATACCCATTCTTCTGAAACTTCCAAAAAATAGAAATGGAAGGAAAACTTCCAAACTCATTCTCTGAGGCCAGTGTTACCTTGATCCCAAAACCAGACAAA